ATCAGGTCAATGCCATGTAAATGCAAAGTAAATGCGATGTCATTGTGGTGTAAGAGTCAAAGGAAATCAGATATGTGATGTAGGCGCGGTGTCAACGTAATGTCACGTAAATTTCCACAGCCACGCCAACCCAGGAATCGGTCTTCCTGTGTGAAGGCTTTGACTTGAGACTTTCGGGTGGCTGCCCGGTGTGCCAGCCTTGGGGCTTGAACCGCTCTTTTGGGGCTGTTTGTGTGAAGAGCTCTTAAAGCTTCTGGGCCGCAGACGACTAGTCAAGAGCAACATAGACAAGACGTCATCTTCATTCAATACTTATTACTTCTATTGCGCGAATTGCAAAATATGCAAACACCACACACTCGGAGAAGTCATGACGAAGACAGCAAAGCCAGTCGAACATGCGGTCTGCCTGCCATGGAGTAATTCAAAATAGCTCCTGGCATTTTCCATTTAGCCGGTAGACCTGGTATTTGCAAGTGATCGGTACCGGGAAATTTTGACTACCAGCAGGCGTTGGCAGTTCGCACTCCGACTCTACGATGTCATCACCGCCAACAAGACTTGGCAGCACTTCTGCGTGCTCACTTTTGTCCGCACAGTATCTCGCTTTTCGTAACCAGGAACCTGACCATGGGCCACCTCATGACGATCTCCTTAAGAGCACAACCAAGGTCTTGCCTGAGATCAACAACACAATGGAGCACGAGGAACTGTTAGAAACTCTCCCGGAGGAAGTTCACACCTACGGGCATCATCAGAACCTGGAGGTCGGAACCGTGCTGCTTTGGATCCTTTGCCTCTCATGGGTGGTGCCAGAGCGCAGAGCGAGTCGCCCATGCACATAGCAGCATCACCGCGGCACATGCCGTCTGGCTTCAGTCCCAGCACACTGCTGGGCTGTGGAGGCGGACGGCGCGAAGCATTTGCAAGCATGAGTTCAACTCCTTCACATCCGCTTGTATTTGATGTGTTGCGCAGAGGGAGGTTTCCGAGATTGCCATGGAATCATACGGAATGCCGCGGATATGTCGAAGAAGGGGCAAGCCCCGAGCTTGCCCCGGCTTTTTCTCACGCGTCAGGCATGCGTGCTCCAGAAACGCTTCTGCGCCCTGCGTTTGTGGGTCTGGCACACTTCTTTGTCGCAGCTGCGCCATCGCCGCCCTCCAAGCACACGAATATTGGGCTCCGTGGCGTTCTGTGTTGCGCAGAGGTGCCCCACGCAATCGTGCAGGTGTCTGAGTGAGGACCCCGGATGTTTTCTTTTGTTGTTGGTTGTTTTCTGTGAAAAGTTTTGCTTTGGAAATCTTGTGGTTTAGGGTGCTTGGGGCTTTGCAGGGTTTCGCCCTGGGGCGTATGGCTTTGGGATTGTAGGGTTCTTAGGGCTGATAAGGATTTAGGTTTTGTCTAGGGTTGATTTTCTTACAGCTGAGGGCCTTGGTTTTTTGTGAGGCATTATTAGGGTTGTCAGGGTTTATGTAGGTCTCAAATTGTCTCAAGCTTCTAGGTTCAGGTTGGTTTTTGGGGCTTCGTAGATTCGTAGATTCCTTTCCTTTCCCCGTCTCGAGTCCCTCTCCGGCCTCGAAGAGGTCCAAGGCCCAAAGGTCGTCCAGAAGTGTCCCACCTCGCTCTTCGGGCTTTGGGTCGGTCTGTGGGGGCCCCGTGCTGCACACGAGAAAGGCTCTCCGAGGGCCGCGGCCTTCGCCCAACCCGCCGAAAAGGAGCCAGGACCCGGAGGCGGAGTCGAAGGCCGCGGCGTGCGAGGACCGCGCTGCGGGGCTCGCTGCAACAGGCGGGAGCGGCTCCCAGCGCCGGGCCTCGCGCAAAAAAACTCACATTTCGACTGCAGGGGACCGTGGGAGGAGGAGGGCAGCTGCCAGAAGTGCATGTGAGCGTGGGATTTCGAATTTTTGTCCGAGTCCAAGGCGAGGAAAAACTGTTGCTGGAGCAGTGGCCGGCTGCTTCTCTTCCGATTTGTTTTGCCTTCTTTCGAGGCCCCTCACCTCTCCCCTACTCACAGGGCAACTTGATGGTCGATTCTTTCGGCACGTGTGTCCATGCTTCTTTGGTATGAGCGAGTCTCCGCCCAACCCAGGCCCCAGGAGATGACGAAGGCCACTGTGCTCGGTTCACCTGCATGCCACTTCCCTCATCCCCTGCTTGATGTGTTTTCTTGCCTGAGGTGCGTTGCCAGGATCCGGTGATTGCTGATTGTTTCTTCTTTCTCTCTGTGCGAATACTTACTTTCTTGACGCGAGACGAACTCCCGAAATTTCATTCTTGGCTCAGTTTGGAAGCTCCCCTTGATGGTTTGTAGAAACTATTTTGGTTCCCTGGCCACTGGCTCTGTCCGTACGCGTTGTTTCTGCTAGGAAATGAATCCTCCCCACCTGCAAAAGCAAAGTGCGCTCTCGGCTACTTGGCCTCGGTCCTTTGCTACTGTCCTTGCTTCTCATCTGCTTATAGTGCTGCTTTCGCCGAGTGTATGCTAGCTGAGAGAACATCAAAGAAACCTACTGAGCTTGCGAATGCCTAGTCGGCCTTGGCCGTCGTGAAGGGAAGGGGGATTCGAGTAAACATCAGTGTGCATCCTTGGGGGGTGCCCCGGGACTTCCTTGTCCAGTGTGCACCCTGGGATGCGCACTGGACGCTGAACATGATGTTTATTGGACCCGGCGCGTGTCGACAAGAGCGCCGCTTTAAGACTCCAGTGTGCACCCTGCTGTTCTTGATTGCTTTGTTCTTAGGGTTTCTTTTGGTTGTTCTGTTTAAATTATAACGTTTTTAGTTTTCTGTGTTGTTTTTCGGGTGCTTGTTTTTTCCTAGCTCATTCGGGCTTCTGTTTGGGTTTTTCTCTTTAGGAAACAGGGTTTTCATTTTCTAGGACCGAAGGCACAGACTTTCAGGATATCTCCGCCTAGGGTCAAAAATGTTATCTCTCTCGTGTATTTGTTTTCCACTCCTTAGGGCTTTCTTTTTGTTCTTTTGCTCGCTACTCCCTAGGGTTTGCTTTTGGTTAAGAATGTTATGTATTCCTGTGTTTCTTCTCACTTCTTGAGAGGTCTTTTTGTTTGCTAAGCATGTTAGACATGTTTTTTTCTTATTCCTTAGCCTTCTTTTTGGTTTTTCTGCTTTAGATTGTTTTGTCTTCCAAGCTTCTCAGGGTTTCTTTTTTGGTTAGTCTGTTTAGAATGATTAGTTTTCCTATGTTGTTTCCTAACTCCTTAGGGCTCAGCTTGAGGCCTTTCAGGCTTTACCTAAAATTTAGGGTTTCGGGTTTCGGGTTTAGGGAAAAAGTAAACTCAACTACACTCTTTCGATCTTCAAGGCCATTCTTTGCAGGTTTGGGATTCTCTTGCTAAATGTTTAAAGTTGAGATTGTCTTCAAAGATTAACAAGCTTCTCTTGTTTGAGGCGGTGCATTTCTTTTGAAGGTTTCCGAACCGCATGAAATTAGGGAGGGCCCTGTGCATTTTGCGGCAGCTGGAAAATGCACGGAGGGCTTCTGGAAGGACAACTGCCTTACCCCTCACACCACATGACGCCGGGGAGGGGAGGGCCCTGTGCATTTTGCAGCGGCCGGCAAATGCATGGTGGAATGTGCCCTGCATGTGCCTTTGGACTGGATGCGCACTGGACGCTTAACATGATGTTTACTCGATGCTTAATTGTAAACGCTTGCGCGCGCCGCCTCGGCAGCCCGGCCTGCCCCCCACCCCCCCCCCACCCCCCCCACCCCCCCACCCCCCTCCCCCCCCCACCACGCCCCCCCACCCCCGCCCACCCCCCGCCCCCTCCCCCTCCCACCCCCCCCCCCCCTCCCTCTTTCCTCCTTTCCTGTCCTAAGGGGGGGGGGGTGGGGGGGGGGTGGGGGGGGGGTGGGGGGGGGGTGGGGGGGGGTGGGGGGGGGGGGTGGGGGGGGGGGGGGGGGGTGGGGGGGGGTGGGGGGGGGGTGGGGGGGTGGGGGGGGCGTGGGGGGGGGGGGTGGGGGGGTTTTTGAGGCCCTCTTTGTAGGAGCCACGACCCTCCCGGCAGGGGTTCCACAGGTGGGGGGGGGGGGATTTCGTCAAAAAAATTGGCATGGTTGGGTTAGGGGGAAGGAGGCCCGATCCGGGTCTGCTTGTTCCAGACGCTTCTCGGCAGGAAGCCGAGGCGAACTTGATGTTTACTCGACCCTGCCCCCTCATGAAGTCTACCCCGTCTGTCTTCCTTCGAATGTCCATCCTTACTCTCCCCAATGCTAATTATTCAAAATCTGGTAGCGGCGTTCTAGGATTGATAAGAGTATAGTGGAATTAAGGGCATTCCTGGAACGCAGGCCGGGGTTTAAACGATCAAGATGCGCCGGTTGGCATATGTTGACGTGCCTTCCAGGCGCCTTCCAAATCCCCACACGGCCCACACGGCCCGCAGGGCCCCGAATGAGTTGCTGCTAGGTCCATGAGGCCCATCGCCAAACAAGCCCAACACACAACATAAGCAGAAACCACTCACCGCCTGACTGCAGCTCCCTGCCTCGAGATCGAACATCCAGAGGTCGCCCAAGCGGCCACCTGCACCTCAGCATCGCGCACGGCATGGGGCTTCGGCAAACTCCCACATTGCTGCGGGGGAAGTATCTCTCCTCTTGCAATGGCGCCGCCCCGGGCCGGGCCCCCGGACCATCACCGCCGAAGACCAGCAGCTGCCCGGCGGCGCAGGCGGAGGTGTGGAGATGCCGCGCCGGGGGCCCCTCCGCGGCCTGGATCTCCTCCCAGCGCTTTGCCTTCCGGGGCGCGGGGAAAGGGGACTTTGTGAGACCGTGGGAAAGAGAGACCTTGTTGGCACGGACAGGGCTTCGGGCGCCTCCAGGTCCAAGGACCAGAGGTCGCTGAAGAAGTTGTCGCCATCGGTTCCTCGACCGCTCCATTCCACTCCGCTCCGCTCGGGATTTGCGGGGAAATTCGGGGGCGCACACTCTGAACTCTGAACCCGAAATTTTATCCCTGCTCCTTTTCCCCCCCTCCCCCCGCAAAAAAAACACATTAAGAAGGCTTCTTTTTTCGGGGCTTGGTTCTAGGTATCTTGGGGTGGGTTCAGGCAGCACCCCTGGCTTCATTTCAAGACAGGTTGTTTGTAAACAAAAAATTAGCAGTTGGCAGTGATCTCTACCTCCACCTCAAGGTCCTATCATCTTCCCTCATGTTATCTCATCTCTGGGACTCAGTTCCCTCTGATGGTTTACCCAGGCTTAGATATGGATGTACAAAATAGCATGTATTTGATGGACACGATGAGCACCTTCTGCGAGGTGCATCTGACAAGTTCAACTCGATGAAGCAGTGTTGCGTTGCGATGCAAAGCCCGATGGTTGCTGCAGAGAAGCCTACTTCGTTCAGCATTTCCTCGGCTTGGATCCTGCTTTCGCTTCAGCAATTGCGCTCAAGAGCCAACATCTTGTTGAGCAGGATGATGCCCAGCCTTCTTCATCCTTGCATTCCTTGCCGAAGCCTGCCCCTTACACCCGGCCACCTGGGTTCCACTTGCCGCCCTTTATTATTGTAAAATGTGCTCGTTAAGGTGGTGTTTGTTTGATACTCAGTATCTAATAAGTGCGTTCAAGAACTAATATTATGGAAGTTTTGAAGTTGTTTTGTGTTCAGAACATCAATAGCGTCTGTGTTTGATTGTATGTTTGAAGAGTTTGCCGCGTTGATGTCTCTTAATTCCGTTTTTGTGGCATATAACAAAGAAATGTCTGTGCCACTGACTACAACAATCTACAACATTATCTGCTGTTAATGTATTTGTGTTATTCAATGTCAAAGGCATTAGTTACCCCCTCCCTTCTTGGATCCCGGGCCTCCGAAAAACAGCATAGCGTGGGCCGCTTCCTCGTAGCTGGCCGAGTGCCCGTACCTGGCCGCCGGCCGCCGGCCCTCGGGCCGCAGCTCCGCCCAGCGCTCGGCCTCCGAGGAAAACATGCTGCGGGCACAGCTGTCAGGGTCTACCACGGAAGTGGCATATGGATCGAGAGGGAGCTGCGTCGTCTCTTGTCTTCCTGGATCGCTTCGAGAGGAGGAGACTGCGACTAGCGGCGCACGGATGTTTGGGCATGCTCTTAGAGAAGGGCCGCCCTGGCAGCACAGGCCTAACGTTGTTCGGGCATGGGCGCTCTCAGGAACGGCACAGGGAGTGTATGCTTGAACTGGCATCCACAATTACCGCCTCCCCCTCATATTAAAAAAAGGCACATCGGTTCAGCTGGGCCGGACACCCTCAAAAACCCCCCAGCCCTCCAGTCAAACGCACCCGGAGAGGGGCCAAGGCTTATGGTTTAGACTAGGGAATGAGGCGGGAAGGGACTGTGGCGAATGTGCTGCAAGCAGGGCGCAGCCGAAGGCAGAAGAACAGCAACAACCAGTCCTACAATTCGTTGGTGCGCTTTGGGGGCATGCTAATACAGCAGGGGATGAACTCGAACTTGATGTCGGACGTTTTGAAACATTCTGAGTCCTAACCGGCGCCCTGGCACAACCGATTAAGCAAAAAAAAAAAACATAACATTCTGACTTTGTTCGACGACATGGCTCGCACGTGCATTTTATGTGATATAACTATGAGGCGCTGCTCGGCCCCGGAAACCTTGGTCTGAGCCAGGTATAGTCGGCCGCCGTGCGCCACTCCTCCACCAGCTAACACGCCACAGGATACCTCAGAGATCCTGAGAGCCTTCTGCCCAGTCCAGGAAGCGCAATTTCTTCTAGCACACGCACCAGACAAAATCTACCTGAGAGAGCCTTTTGTGTCCCCATCCACGCAGTATCCCGATGGTCTGAGACATTCTGAGACTGCCTCTCTTGGTCGCTATACGGACTTCAAGCGCCGCGCGCCTGGAGCTCCAGGATGAACACATCGTCCAGTTCACCTCGGGAACTGGACTTCTTTTTTTTTTCTGCCGAGACGGGGGGCGCGCCCCTTGCTTCTTTTTTTGTTGAAAGGGACATATGACATGCAGACCGGAGGGCTGAGGCCCACGCGTAAATCCTCGCCTCGCAAGACGCGCAGCTTATATATTAGGGCGTAAATGAGGCTTCGAGGAGTCTCACCCTGGAAGCTTCGGGAGGCCAAAAAGAGCGGGGCAGTTTCCCGGCCTCCTTGGCCCCCGAAGACCACCATCTGCCGGCCCTTGGGGTCGAAGATGGCGGAATGCGCGTACCTCCCTGGCGGGAGCTCGCCTTCGCGCCGCAGCTCCCTCCAACCGTGGTCCTCGCAGGCAGCTGGGGTGCAGGTCCCAAATGCACCCCAGTGCTCGGCGGCGCCTCCAAGCCGAAGGCCCAGGCGTCGTCGCCTCGGCGCGCCGGGCCGCCCCTTATACCGCCTAATCTGATGCTCGGGGCCCCCGGCGAGCTGCTCCATTGTAGCCCCCGAAGAGGAGCATCGCCCGGGCCGCGGGGTCCAGGATCGCGGAGTGCCGGACTCGCGCTGAGGGCCGAGGCCCGGCCGTGCCCAGCTCCTCCCACTCCTTGGCCTGGCTCTCGCAACTTCGTTCTTTCAAGGGTTTGGGGCACACAGAGCAGAGAAGCGGAGCCCTTCGGGAGCTTCAAAACGCCTCGAGGCCGAAGGCCCAGACGTCGTTGCGGTTGCCGCCACGCCCTCGGAACGAGAAAAGAGAGCCCGCAGGAGGACGAACAGAAGAACAACAAGGGTGGGGAAAAAAACACGCGGGAGGAGGAGGATAGAGAGAGGACGAGGAGGCTTTGAAACGGGGCTTTTGGCCTGCGCCGCCGCCAAAGACGAGGAGTCGCCGCGAGGCCGCGTCGACGACGGCGCTGTGGCTAGACCGCTTCGCCGGCCGCGGCGCGCCCTCCGCGGGCTCTAAGAGCTGCCAGCGAGCCTCCCCCCGTGCTTTCGATTGGGCGCTGGCTGCACGCAGAAGAGAGATGTAGAGATGGGGAGAGGGGGAGGAAAAGTTCGGGGGTTCATCTCCCAGCGCAAGAAAAACAAACACACTTCCCAGCCTGGCCTCCATCACAAAGATGCCGGACCTCTGCACTTTCAGTCACGGGCGCTTCCGGCGGGTCTCGGGCCGGGCCTCGGGGAGCAGCCGCTGGCAACTTTTCGTGCAAGGTCCGTGTTGTGTGATGGGGAGGCCGGGCAGTGGTTGCAATGCAACGGCACGGTTTACGACGGTTCTCATTGCTGAAAGCGGGTCTCTGCAGCAGCGCGCTGTGCATCACTGCACACTTCGCTTCAAGTCCGATCTGTGGCTCCACACTGCGCTTGCGACGCGGCATCCATCTGCATGACCGCCCAGCTTTCGCTAGCCGAAAGAACCCTTGAACCAGGTCCCACGGCGCATCTTACAGATATGGGCTCCACAAGGTTCGAATACGGCTGGAGGTCGGCCCAGACTGCACCGATCAGACACTTGAAAAAAAAAACACCCTTCTGAGAGGCTATTCCTGAGCGCCTGATTTCCTGATGCACTAAGAAAGGAGAGCTTTTCCGACAAGCATGAAATGAACAAGGACACGACACTGCAAAATCTGCTCTCTCCCTGGATTCCTGGACGTTTGCATCTATAGTTTGCTTTCCTTCACTTGCGGAAGTGTGTTGTTATTGACGGCCTGCATTGCAGGTGGCACCGACTTCAATTGCCTCTCGTTCTTTCTCTTTCTCTGCCGGCAACTTCTCAAGAGCGCAAACAAGCCAAGAACAGACACAGCATAAATAGACGGTGACCATACTTTCCAAAACAAGACTGCAATGAGACATTCTATGGCACGGACCCTTCTTTTCCTCATAGCTTGCCTCTGCTAGCCACAGGAGTGGCACAGCCCACAGACAGGTCCACACAAAGTATACCATATACGCTGTGTAATGTACCGACAAGCGAAATAACCACAACATATCGAAGTCCATGCTTTTAGTACCGTACGCTACGAAAACATGCTTTCGTATTGCTCTCTTGGCCTTTCCGATGTCACCAAGGCAAAGGCGCCGTCCGGGCCGGGTGCATGTTTCACGCACCTTCTCGCGGTCAGGCTAGTCACGTCTGCCATGGTTCTCCCACCTTTGTTGCAAGTCCACGCAGGCATCATGCATCCGACCCACGGTAGGGAGCTCAATGTGCAAAGGCCTGGAGTCTACGAGCCATATGCTTGATAGGCCAAGAATCCGCTGATTTTACATGATTTTGCAGAGTTTGTGTATATTGAACTCAGGGAATTGTCTCAACAGGGTTGCTGAAGAGATGTGCAGGATTTTGGTCTGTGGTCTTTGGTCTCCGTGTCGGCATGCGTTTTGTGGTGGTTCTGTCCTTCTCACACGGACAAGGGGCCCCTAGTACACAAAAAGCGAAAAATCAGAACAGCGACACAGATCTCGAACCCTCTTGCGGATGCATGAAGCCCTCCAGACAAACCTAGGCCCTGGGCAGTGTAAAAGAAAGAAGCAAAGAACAGCACCTTTCCAGCACTGTTGCGCTTCTGCTTTGGTTCCCTTCCACCAGCAACTGCCACAGCAAGAGAGAACATGAACAGCGCCCAGGCAGGCGAACCGCCACAGCGAAGGGCGGTCTCAGGCGGGCCTGGGGAAACCTGTGCGAAAAAAGGGGGGCTTGGAGAAAAATCACAAAGCCCAAGGGAGCGAAGCCAAACCCAAACGAGCAGCAAAAACTAATATCAGAATATCGGCGGAAACTGAAAGTTCTCACTACCTTGCTCCAACTGATGACCCCATGAGGACCAAACATCCTATGAAGGTATTGCAGTACATGGACAACCATGTCATAGACCGAAAAGCAGACTTCACGCATGTGCTCCTGTCATGCATCATGGGCATCAACAGGGTCGGCTCCCCTGCTGCCGACCCTCCCAAAACATGCCTCACTACCTTGCTATGTGACCGGTTCGCTTGCGAAGAGCCAAGCTCGGACCAAAAGCTGCCCAAAACCGGATTCAACATGGCATCAGGCAGCATCCAGGAACTCACCCACAACAGGGGCGCGAAAACGTGAAGGTGCTTGACGCTCTCTTCAGCCTTCAAGCCTTTTCCCTGCAGTTTTTTCAATGAAAGTGATGGCTGCAATGCTGAATGCAGAACGGAAGCCCGCCAAACAGCTCTTAGTTGAAAATCGCTAATTGGCCAATAGCGTCAGGTCAAAATCAAACTCCGAACCTGTGGCTTGATATCAGATTCCCTGCCTACAGGCTTAACGGCTCGAATTCCGATCGTTCGGTGGTGCAGCAAGACGAAACCAAGGCGATGGTGGTTTCGCTCCCATTTTTGTTCTATCAAGTCCTCGCCGGCTGCGGAGAGCAGCTGCTGATGGATGTCCTGTGCTACGTTTCTTCCCATCGGAGAAGGCATGGACACCGATGATGCATCAGGGTTGGAGCTTTGCCCGTGCATGGCATCAAATACGGTGCATAGCGGAGCCAGGAGAAATGACGACAAGATGACGTTGCAATTGGGATACGAATAGCTGCCACAGATTTTCAGAAACATCTTCAGTTTCCCTACAACCAAATCAGCACCAAATATGTACAACGATGCAGCCCACGGAACCAACGTGCAGCCAGGCTTCAAACAACGTCCCGTTCCCCGACAGGACATAATCGTGCCTCAAACATCGTGGGGGGGAACAATGCAGCACCGCCAGCTTGGGCGGCGTTGCCAAGATGAGCTCACATGCTAAAGTCGTTCACTGCGAGGCATTGCCTGAGATCGTAGGTCCTAGTATCTTCAAAAACCATTTGCTTGGTCCTGCATATTCCAAGGAAAAAGCGATCTTGCTCCAGAGGACGCCTGAACAAATCAGGCGTCCATATGCTCGAAGTCGAGAAGCCACGGACCCCCTTCTCCTTACAACTTATGCAAGAAGTGCCCCATTAGGGCCCCTTCTGAAGGCCCGGCCCGCAGTCGACCAGGCAAGCCTCCGCAGAGCCTGAGAGGCGTCGTGCTGTCGCGAACACTGCATGTGCGGGGCAATCGAAAGACCCATTGTAGCTAGATGGCCCACAATGAGCGAAGCAACAGCTTTTGCCATCTCAGTGTCGCACGAAAGTAATGGATGGCTGGCGAGCTGTTGCAACACCATGCCTGCCACAGTGAGCACTTGAGCATTTACAGCCAACAGTCGCCCAAGGAGAGCTCTGTTTCGAACCCGACCGAGATAGAATCACCCATTATCACCCACCATCAACAGCTGTGGGCCCCTCTGTCCTACTTAGGGAAGCCTCTCAAGGACAAAGATCATCCCGAGATATCCGGATTCTGATCCCACCAGCGAGTCAGAAACCATGATCCCTATCCAGATTTTGGATGGAATGTTGTGCTGGGGGCCGGAGCAAGGTGCTGTCTGAAGCTTGGGGGGGGGCAAGGTCCCTATCCAAATTTTGGATGGAATGTTGCGCTGGGGGGCCGGAGCAAGAAGCTTGGGGGGGGGGCAAGGTCCCTATCCAAATTTTGGATGGAATGTTGTGCTGGGGGCCGGAGCAAGGTGCTGTCTGAAGTTTGGGGGGGGCCAAGGTCCCTATCCAAATTTTGGATGGAATGTTGTGCTGGGGGCTGCCTGAAGCTTGGGGGGGGCAAGGTCCCTATCCAAATTTTGGATGGAATGTTGTGCTGGGGGCCGGAGCAAGGTGCTGTCTGAAGCTTGGGGGGGGCAAGGTCCCTATCCAAATTTTGGATGGAATGTTGTGCTGGGGGCCGGAGCAAGGTGCTGTCTGAAGCTTGGGGGGGGCAAGGTCCCTATCCAAATTTTGGATGGAATGTTGTTGGGATACTGCACAAGCGCTTAAGCAAATTGGACCCTAGAGCGACCTTTCAATGCGAAGGTTGTATACGTGGTTGCTTGCGCCAATGGGCTCTTGCCAACTGGAAGGGCAGGGGTCGCACTGTCTTGCGGCGGGTTGCCTGGCTGAAATTCTTTTGAGGTCCGTGCTGGGGTAGAACACTGAACAGTCCCCAAGGCAAAGCACGACTCCATGATAGAAAGCCCAAAGTCACGCATCATGCGTCAGAGGCACATACACCATAATAGGCACAGCGAGGACCTCCCAAAACAATGATCAAAGTGCCCACATCTCTGATTGCGCCTCGCTTCTGAGCCGTCATGATCAGTGGAAGGAGAGAAGGAGGCTCAGACATGTCTGCTGTGAAGCTAGAAGGCATGGCGAGACGACGCGCATTAGCAAAGGCCATTTAGGCTGCGTGTTGAGCCTACCGCGCGCGGGCCATGCAAACGTGGGCAAGGAACCAACTCCGTGCTACACCAACGGGGCAGCGCCTCATCTGCCGCAATGTATTTTGCAGCCAGGGGCCAAGTTCTTAGGGGCCTTGGAGGCTCCAACTCCGGTATCAACTCTTGCGATGGCCAGCGTTGCAGCCCTAACCTCCTCTCTACAGTATCTGGTGGTGGGTGTCCATCATCGCAGGCGGAGCGAGGATTTTTTTGTCAATTTTTCTGGTGTTTTTTTGTGATTTTTTTGTTTTCCCTTGCTTTTCTTATGGTTTTCTGAACATGCCCTCTGGTTCTGCCTGTCCTCCTCCTCTGGTTGGAATTCTTTTCTGTGTATTTTGCTGTTTTTTTTGGTGAATTTTGCTGGTTTTCAGCTTCCGCAGGCTCCTCAGCGGTACCGCATGTCCGGAACCTGACCACATCTAATAACCCTTGGGGTAGCAACCCCCCCCCCCAATTTGCAAACATGGTGCTCGCATGATGGGTTTGGACGGGATTCTTATTGTCTTAAAGCAAGCTTGCGCGCCTTCAACAGCTGGGAGGGTTTGGGGCCCCCACTCCCCCCCCATTTGCAAAGTGATGTTCGCAAAATGAGTTTTGGGAGCTATTCGTTGAACTAAACGCACGCTTGCACACCGGGAATTCCCCCCCCCCCACCCCATTTGCAGACACAATCTCGCAAGATGAGTTTTGCAAGGGATTCGTAAGGCCTAGAAGCACGTTTGGGCGGCTTAGAAAAAAGCGAGGGGTTGGGGGGGCGCAGCCCCCCCATTTGTAAACACGATAGTTTTCAAATGGGATTTGTTTGATCTAACAGCAAACAGCACGCTTGCACGGTTTTTAAAAAAGCGGGGTTTGGGGGGAGGGGGGGGGGGCAAGGCAAGGGATTCGTATAACCTCAAAGCACGCTTGCACAGCTTTAAAAAAAGCGGGGGGAATGCGGAGGGGCAGCCCCCCCCCCCCCCAACCATTTGCAAGCACAATGCTCGCCCCCAATGATGAGGCTTCATATGGTCTCGAAGCAAGCTTGCAAGGCTTAAAAGCGGCGGGGGGTTTGGGGGGGGGCGTCTGGGGGGGGGGGGGGGGGTCTGGGGGGGGGCTGGGGTTGGGGGGGGGGGGGGGGGGGAGCGAATTTGCAAACGCGATGCGAACAATGATGGGCTTGGAAGGGCCGGAGTGGTATATGGTCTTAACATGTCTTAAAGCAAGCTTGCACAGCTGGACCGCAGGACCGGTCTCTCCTGACCAAGGGAACGCAGGACCATTTGACCAGGATCGCAGGATCAGAGAACCAGAGGACCACAGGACCAGAGGACAAGCCAGACCTAAGAAAAGGGAAAAGACAGAGCCAGACCTAGGCAAAAACAACACCGGACCCCGGCTAGAGCCGTAATCCCTTACCTCAAACACTCAAACCCTAAACCCTAATTACAAACCTAAATCCTTCGGGTTTACTACTGCCCGGCCGCTGTGCCGAAGGGCGTTTGTTGTATCCTCACAGGTTCCACATACGGGTTTTGGGGGTCTAGGGTTTATGGTTTAAGGCGTAGGTTGTTTTATGTATTTCGTTATGTTGTTTTCTGTCTTTCTTGCTTTCTTGCTCTCTTTATTTATTTCTCTCGTTCTTTCTTTCTTTATTCCTTTCTTTCTTCCTCACTTCCTTCCTATTTCTTTGTTGATTTTATTCTTTCTTTCTTGCTGTATTTCTTTCTTTCTTCCTTTATTCCTCTCTTCCTTTATTTCTTTCTTGCTTTCTTGCTGTCGTTGTTTCTCTCTTTCTTTCTTGTGTTTTTCTTTATTCCTCCATTCCTGCCTTTCCTTTTTGCTTTCTCTCTTTCTTTATTCGTTGTCTTTCTTTCTTTGTTTCTGTCTTTCTTTCTAGTCCTGCCTTTCTTTCTTTCTTTCTTATTTTTCTGTCTTTCTTTCTATTCCTTTCTTTCTTTCTTTCTTTCTGTATTTCTTTCTATCTTTCTGTCTATTCCTGCCTTTATTTATTTCTTTCTTGCTGTCTTTCTTTCTATTCCTGCCTTTCTTTCTTTCTTTCCTTATTTGTTCTTCCTCTTGCTTCCTTCCTTCTGTCTTTCTTTGTTTCTTTCTTTCTTTCTTCCTGTCTTCCTGCCTTCCTTCCTTTCGTGCCTTAAATTTGACAAAAAAAGAAAAACACAAAAAACAAACAGAAAACAACGCAACAAAAAAACACGGCACCCATCGCAGGCCAGCCTTTTCACCACCGCTCATGGCCTGCATTTGCAGATAGCAAATCTATGGTGTCAGATCCGTTTGAGACATGCCAATCCTAGCTGAGGTGTGGCGCCTGGGATAGTTGGAGTCAGGCGTCGCCCTGAAGCATGGACCAGGCCCCCCGCTGCAGTTACTTTCCGTTCCCCTTTCCCCCCCTCCGCCCCTCCCGAATTCCCCGAAGCCATGGCTCTCCTGGGAGAAGTCGGACATCACCAGCGGCCTGTGGACCCTCCACCTCGCGTGACCGCGGTATAAGGTGGCAAAGGCTCTCTACGTGCCTACGGGGTACTTGCAGTCTATGGGCCCATCTGATGGGGTTTCGGCTCTCACACTCGCACATGGCAGGCAAGGGTTTAGGATTTTTGTCTTACCCGCCTAGCTGATGGTAACATCGCACTGCCGGGAAATCACGGGTTGTTCATTCAAGAAAAAGCTAGGTGTTCTGCGAAGACAGAAGCTTCTTCTTGTCTTTTGTGACCCAAACAAAACATCGATCACAGAAGCGAAGACGCTGGGGAGGGTTTAGGGTGTAGAAATGCTTCATCTTCTTTGGGTTGAGGCCATCGATAACGTGAATGAAACTGGTTCGTTGTCTGAGTCGTTGGCTCCGTTTTTCAAGTCGAAAGTCCGATCTCTGTGCCCTCAGCTGTGAAACCTTGACCCCCGAAACCTCCTCAAACCCTACTCAAGCAATATACATGCAGAGTCATGAAACACATGTACTCCTACTAACAACAACAGGAAATGAGCCCAGAGACGACAGATTGGCATCCCCACATCCATCGGTTAAAAAAGGATGGCACACGCGGCTGGCCGCGGCCTTGTGCCCCAGCGCCCGAAAAGGCGCCTGGCCAAGGTTCGCACTCGCACCCACACTTCTATACTCATTCGAGGCATCTAAGGGGCTTAGGGATGTTCAGGGCTTTAGGGTGGTGATTCTCTGTTGTTGCTTTGTTATTTTTGGTGGGCCGGGGTTCTCGGGGCTTGCTGGCACAGTGGCACCTTGCTCCATCTTGTAAGTTGGCCAAGCATGGTGACAGCACGCCATACTGAGACAGGGGGGGAGCGGGGCTTTTCGGCGAGCATATCGAGCACATGGCCCTACATCATCTCCCACCTTCCTCCAAAAAAAGCAGAAGCAAAAATTAAACACGCCCTCGCAAACCTGTGGTCGCCATCGCCCATGGCGCGGGGCAGCAGAGGAGTCGTGCGGCGCACCGAACACAATGTGTTTTAAAATTTCATCGCAGGCGGGAACAATGCATGTCCGAAAACAGCTTTGCGCCGTTGCGCCGTTGCGCTGCACTATAGTTGCGCGCTGGTCCGGACGTACGCTCTGCGCCGTTGCGCTGCACGCCGTTGCGCCGCGCCGCCGGACGGGTCACTTGCGTGCGGTCGTCGGGTCAATCTACGCCCTTGCGCTGTTGCGCCGTTGCGCCGTGCCGCCACCACTGGTTTAGAAGACGTCCGCCGTTACGACGTAGCGCCGCTGCACCGTTGTGCCGTTGCGCCTTGGCCCCGCCGCGCCACTACACCGCTCCCTTTGCGTGGCAGGGTCATGTATGCCGTCCTTTCTGTATACACATGTGTGTATAGGGTTTTGGGGTGTATAGGGTTTATTGTTTAGGGTTTAGGTCTTAGGGTTCAGGGGGTTCAGGGTCTCGGGTTGAAGGTTTAGGGTTTATTTAAATCCTAAACCAATTACTCTAAACCCTAAACCTTTAAATAAGGACCATCTTGAAGGTGTGCGGGGCTCTTTGAAGCTCGGGATTCGGGAATGGGAAGCACGCGAAACGAACTGGTCAAGTCTTTCTGCTAACGGCTCCCGCAATGGAGCAACGGAGCGCGGTAACGAAGCAACGGAGCATCAGAGCAGATCCGTGCCGTTGCGGCGCCGACGCTCCGGCACAGAGCATCGGAGCAAGGCGCGGAGCAACGGAGCATCGATGAACTGGTTAACTTTATTACTGGATTTCTAAGGAATGATGGATGGTGTGGGTGACAGGGAGAGAGCGGTTAACCTTTACTTTTCCTTTCAAAGAGAACCACCATTAACCTCTTGTTCACACCTGTCAATGAGTCTTGTTCTTGGCACGTGAATTCACTGCGTTCTTTATTCACTAAATTATCTCCATTTAGAATATAAAATTAACCGAGAGAACGAGAGCTCTTTTAATGCGTGATTTGTAAATTAAAAAGCCCTATTGAATAAAGGAAAGAGGAAGCAGTAAATAATAATAGCAAAATATGGGCCTTTTGGGGGTATTATAATAATATAGACGGCCCATGCACTCTTTACCTTGTTCATATTGCTCTTTCGCTTATATATAATAATATAGAATGAATGAGGAAAGTGACGAAGATATTATATTAAAAGGGCAAATTCAAGGTCTGGTTAACATTACGGCAGATTCGGGAAACCAGAGCCGCAGATTTGGGAACCCGCAGATTCGGGAAACTGGAAATCGTGGATTCGGGAAAACTGGAACCCGCGGATTGGGGCAAGTTGCTTGAATGGGGTGTTAACGTATCGCAGCTTCCTGAATTGAAGGGCTCCTGGAATCACATGGTTTGCTCGATCGAGTGAAGCCAGTTTGCTGAACCCGGTCTCGAGAGGTAACATGCGAAGGCTCAGCTGGCGGCAGGATGACACAGACCTGCAGCACACACCAGATCAGGGTGCAGAAAGAGCGCCCACTGCCACTGCCAACCATCAAGACCATGTAGCCGGGGCACTCCCACCAAAAGGGCAAAGAAGATCGCTGCCACAAAGATGATAAATAGGGCTTCAACCCCACCTCTGCTCAACATAGCGCAAGCTGGTTCCGCAGTCTTTCTTGGTTTTCCTCTTCCCTCGGTTGAAGGTTCAGAGACAGCTGCCTCCCAGAGAAACTGTCTCTGTCTCGCTCTGTTCCTCTCTCTCCCCCCAATCATTCCCCCCCCTCTTCAGCTTCTTCTCCATTGCTCTCTTTCGCCGTTTCTCCAGCTTGCTTTGGTGGTTTGGTCTCTCCTCCTCTTTCTGGTCAGAATTATCCTATGAATTTATCGTATTCTTCTTCTTATTCTTCTTCTTCTTCTTTTTCTTCTTCTTGCTTATGTTTCTTCTTCTTTTGCTTCGTCTTCATCCCTTCGTCTTCATCCCTTCTTCTGCTCTCTCCCGCTGTTTCCGTTCCTCGTAAAGCGCACAAACTCCCCTCCACAGCACCTCGCTGCCTTCATCCAGAGCTGAAAGCATATTTGCATTGTGACCTTCCCACCCCTCTGCTTCCTTCTCTGCCGCACCACAGCCTTGTCGTTCACGACACGTGTCCCCTCATTTCCCGGCTGCCTGCTCCCCTCCAGCACTAACATGCAGGATCATGACGGCGCATCACCACGTCCCAACGGAAAAGTGCGGCACACACACGCTTTAGACCCCGACACCTTGTTAGAGAAGCACGCCGTCCCAGCACAGCTGCATTTGTAGAGCCCATTGCACCCTGAGTCAAGGGAAAACTGTTTCATCGACCCCGAGTTTAGAGCTTCAGTCGCATGGCGAGCTGCTGAAGTTTCGTGCGCCCTCTCTATGCAGCTCTGGTTTCGAGCATGCCTCGACTAGCCCGCGCCAATGTCTCCCGTTTCGTGAGCAGCTGCTGAATGTGTCAAGACTGAAAAGAAGTCTTCAACACCTTGAATGCACAAACGCGCTCCACACCTCTCCCAGGGCAGATAAGATCAACATCCCTCTGTGCCCACTATAGCACACAAAGTTCAATCCGGGGCCGCAGCTCCCGCATCCGGCTCTGGTGTCCTCGGTGCTTTGCTGCCAAATGTCATCTGAAGAGAAGAAAAAAATCTCGGAATTCTGGGCCTCCAACTGAGGCCCTAGGTCCTTGGAGAAGGTGATGTTTCCAACTGCCCATGAGTGGCATCAGGTAGCTCTGAGTTTGTTTGCCTTGCTATGATGGGCTTGTCATGCAACCGGTAGCCATCGCCTTGGTAGGGGTCGCTGGCCTTCTGCTTCTCGGGAAAAGTCACCATTTTCGAAGCGAGGGACTCTGGCCGCCTGCCAAGTCTGTATGAACTTTACACTTCTTTGAAAATGAGCGTGCTTACATTGAAAGCTTACATTGAATTTACGAGGTGCTGTGGAGCCTGGGTGTATGCCGTGTGGACTGCGCGGCGGCGAAGCAACAACCCGCATCCAACGGAGAGCGGAGCACGGAGCAACGGAGCAACGGAGCGGAGCAGTTTAGCGAACGCAAAACGCACCTCCAATGATCTATTTGGTCCGACAGCGGAGGCCCGTTCCGCGACGTTGCAGGACGGAACTCATGAAGGCGTGCAGCGTTCGACGATGCTTATCACGAGCCGCACAACTCGGTGTCAGGCGACCGCGAGAGTTCGCTCCGTGAGGCCCTGACTGCTTGCGGGCCTCGCGGACCTCGCAAGGCGCCAAACAATCGCTGCTGTCCAAAACGGAGTGGTAGTGGCTACCGGGTAATAGCATACGATAGTGGACTTCAGTACAGCATGGTAGTCTCTAGTATAGTACATTGGAAACCGCGGGGTTTTTGAAGCATGTCCTCACACTGTGGCTTCAAGTTATCCGCAAACAGGATCTGGGCATGGCTCTGCAACTGGAGGCTGCCGAAAGGAAGAGGGCGAAGCAGTGGTGGCGTTGTCGACAGACCCCGACGAGAACAAAGTTTGCGCGGCCATAGCTCGTGTGGTGCCGTTTCACGCGGCTTTGTGTTAAGAAATGCGCGCCCAGTGAGGCGCACTTGTCGTCGCACCTTCTTCTCGGTTACTGCATGCTCGAGCGCGACGATGGCCTCTCGAGGGCTGCTTCACAGAACTTGTCACCGAACTTAAGGTCTCTTTGGACTTTGGAGCACACCGAGGCATGGGCTCAAGATCATGCTGAGTCTTGCGCAGCCTTTTTGCCAGGCGTGGCGAAAAGCAAGTGACAAGCAGCTTCAGCCACTGTGCGACTGTCGTGCGCTACTCCCAAAAACCCCAAAACTGAGCTGCCAGTATCCGCCCTGGGCAGTGTCTTGTGAGCACATAAGGAAGTCACATCCTGCACTGCGCTGAGTCACGTCCGAGTCGGGAGCCTTGGGAGCTCGACTTCGGCGAGCAGCATCTTCCGCATGTCAGGCACGAAAAGCCAAGCAGGATGCAACACTCCCTGTGAGGAAGCTGCGGGTAGTTCCACCAGTACCGCTCTGCTATGCCTGACACCTCCAAATGCTCATAAACGGAAGCACTGCCAAGATGCCTCAAACGTGCGAGAAGCTTGAACTGCCGCACTGCCCAACCCTGAGGGCCAGGACGACACCCATGCCAGCAGCCTGAAACAAGTGCGGAATGCTTCTGTCAATTCTGCACCGGTTCGAACCCATCACCAGAACATAGCGTGAACATTTAGAATTGAGCTGGCCTGGCTGGTTTCACGTTCGAGAAGCTTTGAAGCCTGTTGTGCAGATCACAAGTGCACTTGCAAGAACAGCAACTTGTTTATATGCCTTAACCATGGACCATTGGCTTGAGCGCCTTGCTGGAGTCCTAGAGACCGGGCCAATCTCTCGTAAAAATCCCACCTGTCAAGAAACATATATCAAGTAGCAGAGATAGGCTGAGATTGCGCGCTGGGTCCAGCTAGGTCCAACTAAAATCCCTGACACCACAATGGCAAATTCGTAAGTCCACCACTCATGCTGACTGCTCTGCAGTTCTTGTCGGCACTGCTCCAAAAGGTCCGCGAAGGAGTTGTGAGAAGGTCTCTGGTCTTCGGGGCCTCCGGCAAGATATTTCCTCGTCCCTCCTCTTGACACCTCACCGGCCATCTCTCTGGCTCTGGCTCGAGTCGCCGCAACGAATCCGCGGCTGCCTTCATTGCTCGGAACCCGGGCACTTTCAAGCCTAACCTCATCGGACCTTTTAGAGGGAAAACTGCGATCCAAGCGGTTGAGACTGTTTCTTCGGAAGATGCTCGACTTCGATCAATTGATTTCGATTAGCTAGATGTTTGGCAAACCTCTACAAGTCTGGCAGCATGCAAGAGCAACGAGCAAATGTGCTGTTGTGCTGCAACAGAACTGTGCAATCCGCACCTAACTCGTGCCTTTTCTTTCGAGTTCGAATCCCTGAGGCAGACAGCGGTGGCGAGCCAACACGGCGAGCTTCATCCGATCTTCGGACGAGCCGCTCAGAGGCTCAACCTTTGGGGCTCTGAGGCTCCTCCTTCTGGCGAAGCTTCTGTAGCCCCTCCTTGCTCACACGGTCCTCGCCCTCCTCCACCATTCGCCAAGACCGCCTCGGCCTGAGTTCAAAGGCTGAACGCTGAGATTTTAAAGAAAAGCAGAGCCTAAACGGCCAGGCGAAGTGGCAAAGGCAGATCGGGACTCTCTGGGGCACTTTGGACGCTTGAGCAAAGCAAGGGCTGGGGACAATACGCACAGGCGTCATCAAGTTGAAGGGCGGTAAGTCCTTGATGGGCTGCAGTATGCGAAATCACAACATGCCCCTCTTGGGGCAACATGTCACAAACCTTTGAGGAAAGCAATAGGTTGTGTGATATGTTCGAGGTTTACATGTGCCTGTGTCTAGTGAGCCTCAAGCCGCTCCTTGGACAAATTGAGCCCGCTTCTGAAATCAAGAGCCGTTCAGGTCGCGCAAGTTCGCAATACATGTCAGCTGCGAGGCTGCGAGGTCCTCCGATCGTGCTCGTGCCTGTACGATGGCTAGCACAGGCAGCGTAGTGTCCCGGGCACGAACCTTGAACAACAAAAAGTGACATTCAGGAAGCCTCTTTGACCGGAAACTTCTGTACGAACCCCCCCTCCCCTGACCATGAGGCCTCCAGTGGCACTTCAGCTTCAGCCTGGAAAAGCCAACAATATGCAAACACACTACACTTGACAGCACAAGTCAAAGCTCCTGAGTCATGCACGTTTTGAGCGATTCTGTTGAGCCTTAACCTTAATCGACCGTCGCTGCGTGGTGTGTCGCTGGGCCACGACACTTGGGCTCCAACTGTGTGCTGAATGAAGTCCTGCGCTTGTGTCGGGCTCTCTTTAAATTTATAGGCGCGTTGCTCCGCCTTCGGTACGAATGGCGGGGGCATGGTGTCGATATCATCCCATGCGAAGTTCGTGAACCACGCCTGGCAGCTGGACGGGCAGGATACGTGCCGAACATTGGCAAGCAAGACAGAATTTGATTTGCATGCAGCCCTCCAGAAAGCTGGGACATGTTGCTTGCCAAGCCTGCGTCTTGATATTCTCCGAGCCGCCAGCCTTCATGGGCAAACGCTCACCTCGGAGAGCAAGGTCAGCCAAACAGGGGCCCCAAAAGACCTCGTGGGATGAACCAAGACCTGAGCATTGCGCTGGCATTGCGAGCGCATAGCCCCGCGATCAGGCTTCTAAGATTGTTCGGCAATCGCCCCTGCACCTTCTCGAAATTGATGCCGCTCGGGATCTGTCAAGATGGTACGGCTGGTACGGTCGGGATGCTGAAACCCTCAGCGTGCACACACGCGCGTCCTCCTCTACTTCGGAGAAGGGGAGCTCGCTGCAGTACAACTCGAAAGCCATGACGCCCAGCGCCCACCAGTCCACCTTGGAAGATTTACCAACAAGACCCCTCCGCAAGACATGACGCACAGCAGTTCTGAGCGCCAATCCGCCCTGTCGTAGGGCATGCCTTCCACCAGTTCCGGCGCCATAAAAGCCTAGAAACCCGGCGCAGAGGCAACGCGTGGTGGCGTGGTGCAAGCCGTCGCTGCTCAAGAGCAAAATGTGCAATCGGGGGGCAGGAGTTGTCCGCAACGAGTGGGCTTTTGTGCCTGGCAACACTTCCTGCGGCGGGTGGGCTCTGAACTGAAAGTTAGCTCACAAGCGTCACTCTTCACCGGCATAAGTCATTTACGCTCCAGCATCCTACCACCGACAAGCAATGACCCCTCCAACAGTCGTTGTATCGCTTGGCCAAAAAAAACATCAAGCGCCTTCGCTTCACCAAGGTCCGTGAGCTTCATGCGACCCGTGTGGTCCAACACAATGTTTTCCTAAGAGCGAACATGCAGGGGTACTGTAGTGCGAGCGAAGGGCGCTGGAGGAACGTGTTTTGCTATTGAGATTGGACAGAGCGCAAAGCCGGAAAGTTCGAGGGCCGCACCGGCTTGAGGTCGCGATGGATGATATTCCGGCCATGTAAATACTCGAGGGCAAGGACCGTGGCAGCCACGTAGTACTTGGTGACATCCTCCTCTCATGCAGCAGCGCCCAGAAATCCCCCGCAAGCGCTCAAAGGTCTGCACACGGTGTATACTGAGCATACTGCATACATGAGGTTTCACCACCATTGCGCTGGAGAAGGTTCTGTAACTTGAAGTCGTGCGTAAAAGGGGAACTCACGCAACCCAGACGCTCCTTGAAGAACAGGTTCTCTCGCATGTAAGTCGCATGCAGCTCGCCGCCCAGCCCTGCTTCCATGAGGAGCACCAAGTATGGCTTGACATTGAAAGTTGCCTTGGAAAACATCGCTCATATTTAAAACCTGGATCCAGAAACCAAGGATGACGTGGCTTTCACAATAGCAATCATTCAGCAGGTTCAAACAGCACAGGCTCGATCATGCTCTCCTTCTCTCTCTCTCTCTCTCTCTCTCTCTCCTGGCCACCCAGGCTTCTGGGCCTTGTGCGGAAGCTGTGACACCAGAAACGGAGTCTCGACGGAAACGGGACAGCTTCGCCTCCGACTCCGTTTTGGCTCAAGGTGCCATCGTCGACATCGACGAGTTCGAGTCCGAAAGCTCGACGGGGCGACTGGGGGTAAGCCGACCTTCCAGCTCTTCGGGGAAACGTAAGCTAATCCAGGGTTCTGAAGGCACCCTGAAAGCATTCTTTCGGCACCCGCCAGGCAGCACAGACAAACCAACTATACGTCTCAGCAGAGCAAAAAAACTACGGCGTCCTGACCTCCCTTAAGTTAGTTTCAGTTTCGCGGGGGGGGGGGGGGGGGCCTCCAAGAGCCGCTTGAAACCCAGGCCACAAGCGATCTCTCAACCTTCTTTGCCGCCGGGGGAGGCCAACATAAGCTTGAGCTACTCCTTTTGACGGGGAAGGGGTGATCCTCACACTTTAAGCCAAAGCAGCTGAGAAAAGCAGAGAGAGCAAGTTGGAGTGGAGAGTGCGGCGCTGCAAAAAACGTGATACCCAATGTTCTCCGAATGCGTCCATGCCTAGTGATCTGTGAGTACTGGGGCAATGGGGACTAATGCAAGTGATTCTTGTTGCGTTCTGCAGGGGGATAGGAAAGCCTGTGTCTGAGAATAATCATTGTAGGTCGGTTGTTGTGCCGCATGAGAGGGTTGTGAAACATTGCCCCCGCCCCCGTTTCCATACGCTGTTTCTGCAACAGACGTTCCCATGTCGGGGGAGCCTGCAACCCGTGCAAACCAAGCTTCATCTTTTCACCCCGCTCCAATCTTTTCAAAATGCAATCCCTTCGTGGCTATCTTTAGAGTTGTACACAACCCGTTATCTCGATCTGTATTTCGCTTGCAGTCGTAGCTGATGCCTTCGCGCATCTTCACTCAGTCAAGGTTCTTCTCTACTCAATGAACGCTGAACGTACAAACTTCCATGACTTTTGCGGGGCAGAGCTAAATTCGACCGACACCAGCTTCTGCTCAACCCCACTTTCTTTTGACATCAGTGTCCACAAGATCTTTTCCTCTCTCTCTCTCGCTCCCTCTCTCTCCCTCCCTCCCCTTACCGTTCTTGCACTCAACCCAATATGCCAAGTGTCCACTAGCTTGACTATGAAGCTTGACTGGCACATTTGGAGCATCTTCCTTTCGTTCATGGCCTTCGCTGAAGCCTCGGCACACATCAGCAGAGGCGCAACCACGATGCCTCGTGCATCCTCATGCATCCTCATGCTTGCAAGGCACATCTAGCCGCTTCAACACGTAGTGCGAGCCGGTCTTCTGGTGTCGGACCTGCTCTTGCCACAACAGCCAACCAAGCCATGGCCTCCCGGCCCGAGTAAGCGCATAGCCAAGGCCACCCCTTTTCCGAGCTTGCCAACCTTCGTGATGTCCTGTTCAGAAAAATAAAAAAAGGAAGCATCAAGAACAAGCCCTTGTTCAGCGGGGCGTGAAAAGTCTAATCAATGATCGCTCCCTGAATTCGATCTGGTCGAGGGACTCCTTCAACAGCACCGCTGACTACAACTTGCACATCATTGAGCTTCACTTAACCCGAAGCAGGCTACAGCATAATCCAAACCTACTGCGGTGTCAGTCTCCTCTGCTGCCGCCGTGTCACTCCTTCAGCAGGCTTCTTAGCTTAACGTTCACGCAGTCGTTCTTTGCTTTCTTCGTTCTCGGCGCTTTCGGAGTTCAGCATCCTACCCCCCCTTCCAGTAAACACGCACAATAATAGTTTTCCAGGGCTGGGCACGCGAACAAACATTCCTCAACACCAAACTCAGAAATTCTGCACGCAAGGTTCTATGTCCCGGATTCGTGATCTCTGGTCCAAACATTCCCAATCTCGACCACGCCTCATCGACGCTGCTGACGCCTTTGCATTTGACGTCTCGGCCTTGTCCTCAAGATCCTGATCAAGCTTTGGGCTTACAGGTTACACGGTGGGGCTTCGGGATCAAATAAAACTGAAACACACTGGGATGCTTCGTAGCTCGCCCAAAATTGAACAACCCCACAGCTAGGGTGGATGACAAGGAACATCGTCGCATTGCTAATCTACGCTCGTAAACATGGTATTCAAAAATCATACTTATAGTTATAAAATCGACAATGACGATGACAGTCGTCGAAGCTGGAGAAGCAATCGCAGAAATAGTGATAAGAGCAATGGCGGCGAGATATGATGGTGATTAAAGCGGTAGTATTCATCACTGCAGCAAGGGCGCCACAACCAACAGAACATGAGCTAATGTAGGCGATAGCGAACGTGTGACAGAGAACCCCTAATTAAACTCTGGAGGAAATGAGCAAGTCCCGGTGCAGAAAGCGAGGTGTGGGTGTGTGGCTGCTGTGTGGCTGTGTGCGTGTGTGCGTGTGTGCGTGCGTGCGTGTGCGCGCGCGCGCGCGCGTGTGTGTGTGTGTGTGTGTGTGTGTGTGTGTGTGTGTGTGTGTGTGTGTGTGTGTGTGTGTGTGTGTGTGTGTGTGTGTGTGTGTGTGTGTGTGTGTGTGTGTGTGTGTGTGTGTGTGTGTGTGTGTGTGTGTGTGTGTGTGTGTGTGTGTGTGTGTGTGTGTGTGTGTGTGTGTGTGTGTGTGTGTGTGTGTGTGTGTGTGTGTGTGTGTGTGTGTGTGTGTGTGTGTGTGTGTGTGTGTGTGTGTGTGTGTGTGTGTGTGTGTGTGTGTGTGTGTGTGTGTGTGTGTGTGTGTGTTTGTGTGTGTGTGTGTGTGTGTGTGTGTGTGTGTGTGTGTGTGTGTGTGTGTGTTTGTGTGTGTGTGTGTGTGTGTGTGTGTGTGTGTGGTGTGTGTGTTGTGTGTGTGTGCGTGTGTGTGTGTGTGTGTGTGTGTGTGTGTGTGTGTGTGTGTTTGTGTGTGTGTGTGTGTGTGTGTGTGTGTGTGTGTGTGTTGTGTGTGTGTTGTGTGTGTGTGTTGTGTGTGTGTGTTTGTGTGTGTGTTTGTGTGTGTGTGTGTGTGTGTGTGTGTGTTTGTGTGTGTGTGTGTGTGTGTGTGTGTGTGTGTGTGTGTGTGTGTGTGTGTGTGTGTGTGTGTGTGTGTGTGTGTGTGTGTGTGTGTGTGTGTTTGTGTGTGCGCGCGTGTGCATGCGGGTGTGCTACTCCATCTCTGAACCTGCATTCGTCAAACCCTTTTCCAGACAATCGCTACAGCATCACTCCTGTGGATCTGCAATGTCTCCGGCTGGAAGAACAGTAGAAACCTTCAAGCAAAAGACCGACTGCAGGTTCGCATCATCCACTTGCCCTCACCAAGAAGGTGTGCACATTGCAAAGCAGCAGCTAAGAATGCCGAATCGGTGCTCATTTTTGCCAAAAACTTCCCACTGCATGCTGAATACAAGTGATCAAACACAAATCCGCGAATCGATACCTCCACCCTCTACGCTCATAAAGCTCTTTACCATCTTCGTGTGACATTGAACACATATTCTCCGCCTCCGACTCTGGAGAGCTGGCTGTTGTCGACGCATCCGACATCCTGTGCGGCAGCTGAATCACAAGGGCTTTTTCAGGCGCTAACCGACAGAAAACTAAACAATCTAGGCAGGCGCCTCCTGTTCGGGGTCAAACAGTCCTCGCAACGTCGAACCGCGGTCCAAACAAGAGAAGCTGACACCACAGGAACTAAAGTGGCCACAATGCAAAAGGACAATGGCCTCATCCAAGATGCGGCTAAACATGCTTGGCAAATCCCTGGGGGTTTCCCGGAGACCATGGGGCAGTATAACAGAAGCATTTTTTGCAAGGGCTCGCAAATACCGGTGATTTTCCACTTACGCAACAGAGCTACGCCATTCGGAATATGTTGTCTTCGCACTTACGTTTGCCTGGGAAGCGCGCGCACGAAGATGTTGGAAAGCCTGGTTTAGGCATCATTCCAACAAGGACACGTGCGAAAACTCGAGGTTTTGTTTTGTGAGAGTGCGGAGATAGACTGGAAAACGTCACGAAACCCCTGGGTTTCATGGTGTATTCGCAACAGGGCAGCGAATTCATTGGCATTTGCCTGGCTGGTGCTCAGCAGGGAATGAAGGAATGAGTTGAGTATGCACTTGTCGGGGGCAGGACTGCATTGGCGTTGGTTCGTCGTGCCTTGTGTTAACTGGCTCTGACCTCAAAAAGTCACGACGTGTAGCAATGGCAACGAAACCTTCTCCAGAAATTCAAGACGAGTAGCAATTGCAACGAAACCTTCCTCAGAAATTCAAGACACGTATACCCTGGTCCCCCTTCCCTAGCTGAAAAAAAGAAGAGCCCGAATCCCGCGCTCTGGCTCAAAACAAAATCAACATAGCCCTAATCGAGTCGGTCCCGCTCTGAAAGGGCCTGGTCCTCGCCCCATCTGGCTCAGGAAAAAAACCTAAAAACTAAACCCCTAAAAACCTAATACTGGTTGACAAGAGAAGGAAGAAGTTTGAGACATACGCTTTACGCTTAAAATGCTTTTAAGTGCCAGCCCGGTCAGATGGGTGGGGCTGGGGGGCTGGGGCGCGGGTTGGGGACGCAGATGGTGCGGGGCTCTGGGGGCTGGGGCGCAGGTTGGGGACTGAAGCGCAGGTTGGGGACGCAGATGCGGTGTGGGGTGGGGGGGGTGGGGGGCTGGGGGCGCAGGTTGGGGACACAGATGGGTTGGGGCTGGGGTGCAGTGGGCCAGTCATGAGTCGTGTTGGGGGCTATGGGGCTGCGGGCTTTCCGAAACATGGCACCCCTTTTCCCAAATGCACGTATCTTGTTCATTGAGTTCAGTTTAGGCTTTTTTTCGCTCAGTTTAGGCTTTAGGGTTTCGGGTTTAGGGTGACGCCATAGGCCATAGGGCTTTTTAAATTTGCTTAGTGTCCCACTGTGTAACATCTCAATTTGGGGTCCACGCTGTCAAGAAATGAGCAAATTTGCACCACCATGGGCCTTGTGGCGGTGCAGTTTTTGTGGTTCAACTCTCGGAAGCTTGGCTCCGATCCTTAAACCCTAGACCCGAAACCCTAGACCCTAAACCCTAAACCCTGAACCCGACTCAGTATAAGAGGCCCAAGAGGCCCACATACACCCCTGAACTCAAACAAGATGCGTCGAGACGGTGGTTTTGGGGGGGGGGGGGGTACCCCCAGTTTAGGAGGACGTGGCCCTGAGAACGGGGGGCTGGGTTCTGGGCATGAGGTGTACCCCCCAAAGGTAAGCGAATTGGGGGATGTGGGGTGGCCGGATGAAGGTGCTCTCTCATTCAGGTGGCTTCTGACGAAAAGTGTTGTGATGTGTTGGGCAGAACTTGCTGGACACACCCTGATAAGCTCAAAGCGTATGTCTCAAACTTCTTCTTTCTCTTGTCAACTGGTCTTAGGTTTTTTGGGGTTTAGTTCTTATGGTTTTTTCCGAGCCAGATGGGGCGAGGACCAGGCCCTTTCAGAGCGGGACAGACTCGATTAGGGCTATGTTGATTTTGTTTTGAGCCAGAGCACGGGATTCGGGCTCTTCTTTGTTCAGCTTGGGAAGGGGGACCAGGGCATACGTGTCTTGAATTTCTGAGGAAGGTTTCGTTGCAATTGCTACTCGTCTTGAATTTCTGGAGAAGGTTTCGTTGCAATTGCTACACCTCGTGACTTTTGAGGTCAGAGCCAGTTAACACAAGGCACGACGAGCCAACGCCAATGCAGTCCTGCCCCCGACAAGTGCATACACAACTCATTCCTTCATTCCCTGCTGAGCACCAGCCAATTAAATTGGCAACACACGAGCAAATTCACTGGTATTTGCATCACTTCGTGCACCTCGAGAAAGGCAGAGACTGTCGACAACATGAGCATGTCGTCATCATCATGTCGGGTCATGTTCAAAAGTCTTCATCACGTCGTCATCATCATGTCATGTTCATGTCATCATCATGTCATCATCAAGATGTCGTCATCATCATGTCGTCATCATCATCATCATCATCATGTCATCAGCATGATGTCATGTTGACATCATCATCATGTCAACATCGTGATTTCGTGATCAGCAAGCCGTCATCATCATGTTAACACCATGATGTCATGTTCATCATCACGTCATCACCCTGTCGTGTTCATGGCATCGTCATGTCATCATCATGATGCCGTCAGCATGATGTGGGTATCATAATGTCATCATGTTTGTCATCATCACGTCGTCACCATCACGTCGTCATCATCACGTCGTCATCATCATGTCGTCAGCATCACGTCGTCAGCATCATGTCGTTATCACCCCCACCCACCCACCCGACCCGAAGTTCAAAGCGAAGCTGAAATTCCAACCTCCCGAAGGCTTGAACACAAAGTAGTTCCTGGAAAAAACCGCCAGGGACAGACCACATGTTTAAGTTTACACCGTTCAACCCTAAACGTGTTTCAAACAACCCTGGTTCCCTCTTTTGTTCCGAGAACCTCTTTCACCTCCTCAACCTCCCCAAAGCGTTTACGACTTCGAATCTGGTGTACATGACACGAATATTGCTAAGCATGGCATTCAGAACGGAAGCACTGTAGGGACGCCACCAGCATGCTTGCCTTCACTGGCTCAACGAAGGGCTTGAAGCTTAGCCAAGTTCCGACCTAAGCCAGAACACCGTGGCTTCTGATAGTAATACCAACAGTAACACAATGATAATGGTAACAACAAGGATAAGAAAGGTAAGTGGCAAGAGTAATGTTAGGAACAATAGCAGAGCTTGGCAGAGCCGAGGAGGTCACAGATGCCATCAGCTCGAATGGCACATGGTTTGCCTGAGATCCGTTACTGTACATGTTACATGAGGAAGCCTCGCAGAGTTGGAATGGCAGCACTGATGTTTATCTATGAGTTTACTATGACGACGACGAACCCCGCAAAGGAGGCCCCATTCAGAACAACCCGATAGAGCCAGCGTCTTGCCTGCTCCGCATGCTCCGCATGCGTCTGAACGGGGGGGCGACCTGACCCCGATTAAACTTCCACCCAGGCAATGAACTCAAGCAGTCACCGTACGCAGACTGAGAAACAACAAGCACTCAACAGTAATATCAGCATGTGTAGCAATGTAGCGGTGCACAGTATGCGGCCTAGCACACAATCAGCCGCACAACCTGGGGGTGCTGCGTTGACCTTCTGCTGCGTCAAGTCTGGATGTCGATTCCTGGACCTTCGCCTGCACAGCAGCAATCATGCCAGAGCCTAGCGGCCTAGCAAAGTGCTGCACATTGCTTCTGGTGGCAGGTCATGGAAACCTTTAGCGCGCACAGGAGTGCTTGGCAAGTGGCGGGGCGCTTCGTGCTCGATGACCCTGCCACATCAACCTCACACAGGGCAACTCAAAGTTTAACATGCTGACCCCTGAAAATAGCGCGTGTGCATCGAAGCAGCCGCTGGGGCGATCACAAACTCTTCAAGCGTCTGGATGGGCGCCTGCTGGCTGTAGGACGGATGCAGGAGGAAATCAGACTAAGCTGCAGGGAACCAAGCCGCAGACAAGGAATTCATCTAGCGTCGGGATTTCGGCAATCTGCACATTGACAGATCGGGTCATGTCGGCACAACTCACATTTGACAAGCGTAGGACACCATTCTGGGCCACGCACGAACTCGTCCAGTGTTTGCATGGCTGCACTCGAGAAGCAAGTTGTCAAGAATGTCTGAGCCATGGTTCATGCTGCAGATGTCACTACAAACCTCTTTCGGAGCGACGTTACTACAATACAATGCAAAGCTCAAGTAAAGGGATATGGTGCTGCTCGGCAGTGCCAAACCATTCCACACCAAGCAACTTTTTGACACGAGCCCTGTGCAGCATTGCTCATCCCAGATTGGCGGTCAACTGGGACCTGTCCTGGTGAAATGTGTAGATGCCAAGGACGGACCTGGAGACATTCTTGCGGTCGCGCATGGAAGCCGCCTAAACACATGATGCCGGAGCTGGCCTCAAAGACCCGAGGGCCATGTGAACCGACAAAAGGTCAGCTCTCACCTAGCTTTGCAGCCCAGTTGAAGATCCGACAGTGAGGAAAAGGATTGGCATGCAACACCCCCAGTATTGGGGAAATCAGTTATCTCGCTCGGAACTACAGCCAATGTATGAAGACAATTGCGACGGCTGATCGTGAGAATGATAGCTTTGCAAACGTTGGTGGTCAGAAGCAGCACAGCTGCCTCTGTCAATGGATCCTTGTCACGACTTTGAGACTTAGGCCTGCACTGCAAAGGCGCCAGCGAACCAACAACTAAACCCAAGTCGACGGGTCCCCCGCATGATCTAAGTCATTGGAACCTGCCACAGCCCGCTGCAGGCTTGGTCAGAGAGCGGTCTCTGGGCAGAGTATGGAACTGCCACGGCTGTTTCTCCGAGCAGCAGAGAGCCGCCCAAGAAAGTCGTCGTTGCCACAGGTCTTGAGGTGATCCTGCCAGTTTGGCTGCTTATCTTGAATTAGCTCGCCATGCGTGTGATGGCAAGTGTCGTGAACAAGCCCTGCGAGGTCCTCATCCCAAACCGTGACTTGGACTTCCTGGCTGTGATGTGCCTTGGGCATTAACTTGCAAATGCTGCCTGCACTCCAGCGCCGAGGTTGCATAGGCCTGTTCAGTGTGAACGAGTCTGAAGTCCTGGATTCAGCTTAGACACCTCGTGCACAGGCAGGTACAGCAGGCAATTCCAGACGGGATTTCTTGTCGTCGGAAACATTGCCTCAGGTAGAACTGCATCCTGAAGCTGAGTTCCAGACCGTGCGCTTGACGCAAAGCCCCAACTTCACGGTGACGTAAGGATCCGATTTCCCGTTCCTCGGATTGAGGCTCAAAACCGAAAATCGATCGATTCCGGAATAAGGTATGAAACATACATTCTACAAAAAGACACATGTAACATGATTTGCAAGATGCCACAATATACACAACATCTTTCGGTGCGACCGCTCACGAAAATCGGCCCAGGCTCCATCCGCAGCTATCAGGTTCTCATTTGAGAATTTGGTCACCGGCACCAGGCATCGTCTGGACAACCTGGTGGCAAGGGCTGCAACCTATCCACAGACAACTTACTAGTCGATTTCTGACTTCGCGACCTCCGCATCCATGAAGCACTGTCAAGTTCTGTGAGGCTGTTTTGGTTTCTTGCTTTGTTGTAGACAAACATGAGCTGTCGCTCAGCGTCTGTGTCAGCAGACCTTCCTGATTGCGCTTTCCATCCACCTGCAATGGCATTGTGTGTACAACCGTTGAACAACCGTTGAACAAACGCAGAGCGGCTTTCCAAAGTGACGACACTCGAAACCTGGATTCGGCCAAGATGCCCCTTTTGGGCCCAACTTGAAACCTGGATTCGGCCAAGATGCCCCTCTTCGGCCCAACTTGAGATGCCCCTCTTGGGCCCAACTTGCAACCTGGATTCGGCCGAGATGCCCCTCTTGGGCCCAACTTGAAACCTGGATTCGGCCAAGATGCCCCTCTTGATCCCAACTTGAAACCTGGATTCGGCCAAGATGCCCCTCTTGACCCCAACTTGAAACCTGGATTCGGCCAAGATGCCCCTCTTGGGCCCAACTTGAAACCTGGATTCGGACAAGATGCCCCTCTTGAGCCCAACTTGAAACCTGGATTCGGCCAAGATGCCCCTCTTGGGCCCAACTTGAAACCTGGATTCGGCCAAGATGCCCTTCTTGGGCCCAACTTGAAACCTGGATTCGGCCAAGATGTTTTCTTGGCCCCAACTTGAAACCTGGATTCAGCCAAGATGCCCCTCTTGGGCCCAACTTGAAACCTGGATTCGGCCAAGATGCCCCTCTTGGGCCCAACTTGAAACCTGGATTCGGCCAAGATGCCCCTCTTGGGCCCAACTTGAAACCTGGATTCGGCCAAGATGCCATGTTGGGCCCAACTTGAAACCTGGATTCGGCCAAGATGCCCCTCTTGGGCCGCGGCCCAACTTGAAACCTGGATTCGGCCAAAGGTGCCCCTTTTGGGCCCAACTTGAAACCTGGATTCGGCCAAGATGCCCCTCCTGGGCCCAACTTGAAACCTGGATTCGGCCAAGATGCCCCTCTTGGGCCCGATTCGGCCAAGATGCCCCTCTTGGGCCCAACTTGAAACCTGGATTCGGCCAAGATGCCCCTCTTGGGCCCAACTTGAAACCTGGATTCGGCCAAGATGCCCCTCTTGGGCCCAACTTGCAACCTGGATTCGGCCAAGATGCCCCTCTTGGGCCCAACTTGAAACCTGGATTCGGCCAAGATGCCCCTCTTGATCCCAACTTGAAACCTGGATTCGACCAAGATGCCCCTCTTGACCCCAACTTGAAACCTGGATTCGGCCAAGATGCCCCTCTTGGGCCCAACTTGAAACCTGGATTCGGCCAAGATGCCCCTCTTGAGCCCAACTTGAAACCTGGATTCGGCCAAGATGCCCCTCTTGGGCCCAACTTGAAACCTGGATTCGGCCAAGATGCCCTTCTTGGGCCCAACTTGAAACCTGGATTCGGCCAAGATGTTTTCTTGGCCCCAACTTGAAACCTGGATTCAGCCAAGATGCCCCTCTTGGGCCCAACTTGAAACCTGGATTCGGCTTGGGCCCAACTTGAAACCTGGATTCGGCCAAGATGCCCCTCTTGGGCCCAACTTGAAACCTGGATTCGGCCAAGCTGCCATTTTGGGCCCAACTTGAAACCTGGATTCGGCCAAGATGCCCCTCTTGGGCCCAACTTGAAACCTGGATTCGGCCAAGGTGCCCCTCTTGGGCCCAACTTGAAACCTGGATTCGGCCAAGATGCCCCTCCTGGGCCCAACTTGAAACCTGGATTCGGCCAAGGTGCCCCTCTTGGGCCCGATTCGGCCAAGATGCCCCTCTTGGGCCCAACTTGAAACCTGGATTCGGCCAAGATGCCCCTCTTTGGGCCCAACTGGAAACCTGGATTCGGCCAAGATGCCAAGATGCCCCTCTTGGGCCCAACCTGAAACCTGGATTCGGGCCCAACTTGAAACCTGGATTCGGCCAAGACCCTCTTGGGCGCAACTTGAAACCTGGATTCGGCCAAGATGCCCCTCTTGGGCCCAACTTGAAACCTGGATTCGGCCAAGATGCCCCTCTTTGGGCCCAACTTGAAACCTGGATTCGGCCAAGATGCCAAGATGCCCCTCTTGGGCCCAACCTGAAACCTGGATTCGGGCCCAACTTGAAACCTGGATTCGGCCAAGATGCCCCTCTTGGGCCCAACTTGAAACCTGGATTCGGCCAAGATGCCCCTCTTGGGCCCTGGATTCGGCCAAGATGCCCCTCTTGGGCCCAACTTGAAACGTGGATTCGGCCAAGATGCGCCTCTTCAACCCGACTTGAAACCTGGATTCGGACAAGAGGCCCCTCTTGGGCCCAACTTGGGCCCAACTTGAAACCTGGATTCGGCCAAGATGCCCCTCTTGGGCCCAACTTGAAACCTGGATTCGGCCAAGATGCCCCTCTTGGGCCCAACTTGAAACCTGGATTCGGCCAAGATGCCCCTCTTGGGCCCAACTTGAAACCTGGATTCGGCCAAGATGCCATTTTGGGCCGAACTTGAAACCTGGATTCGGCCAAGATGCCCCTCTTGGGCCCAACTTGAAACCTGGATTCGGCCAAGGTGCCCCTCTTGGGCCCAACTTGAAACCTGGATTCGGCGAAGAAGCCCCTCTTGGGCCCAACTTGAAACCTGGATTCGGCCAAGATGCCCCTCTTGGGCCCAACTTGCAACCTGGATTCGGCCAAGATGCCCCTCTTGGGCCCAACTTGAAACCTCTTGGGCCCAACCTGAAACCTGGATTCGGGCCCAACTTGAAACCTGGATTCGGCCAAGACCCTCTTGGGCGCAACTTGAAACCTGGATTCCAACTTGAAACCTGGATTCGGCCAAGATGCCCCTCTTGGGCCCAACTTGAAACCTGGATTCGGCCAAGATGCCCCTCTTGGGCCCAACTTGAAACCTGGATTCGGCCAAGATGCCCCCTCTTGGGCCCAACTTGAAACCTGGATTCGGCCAAGATGCCCCTCTTGGGCCCAACTTGAAACCTGGATTCGGCCAAGATGCCCTTCTTGGGCCCAACTTGAAACCTGGATTCGGCCAAGATGCTCCTCTTGGGCCCAACTTGAAACCTGGATTCGGCCAAGATGCCCTTCTGGGCCCAACTTGAAACCTGGATTCGGCGAAGAAGCCCCTCTTGGGCCCAACTTGAAACCTGGATTCGGCCAAAATGCCCCTCTTAAGCCTGGATTCGGCCAAGATGCCCCTCTTGGGCCCAACTTGAAACCTGGATTCGGCCAAGATGCCCCTCTTGGGCCCAACTTGCAACCTGGATTCGGCCAAGATGCCCAACTTGAAACCTGGGTTCGGCCAAGATGCCCCTCTTGGGCCCAACTTGAAACCTGGATTCGGCCAAGATGCCCCTCTTGGGCAAAAGCTATATGCCGAGTTGTGGGCTATGTTGCTGGTGATGCATCGGGGTAACTGTTTCCCATGAGCACCCATCCTCAGGCGAGGACCGAAACCCCGGTGTTCCAGCTATTCGCTCTGAGTCGTGTCGGTGCGAAGGTGAAGTGGCGGCTTGCGCCGATGGGCTTGGGGCCCCGGGAAGGCACAGCACGACTCCATGATAGCAAGCCCACAGCCACGCGTCAGGCGTCAGGCACATACACCACTAACACAGCGACTACCAGTGCCCGCATCGCTGATGGAGCCTCGGTTCTGAGCCGTCATGATCAGCGGAAGGAGAGACGGAGGACCCTGCACAGGGCAGCGGCATAGTGAACTTGCAGCACGTAATTCGGCTCAGACATGTCTGCCATG